ATTCCTTTTCGTTGGCCTTCACTGCTAGGGTCTTCAGGGCGTTGAAGACGGTGCCGCGGAGTGTGTAGGGAATCTCTTCAATGACCATCCTCCTCGCCTCGATCTTGGACAGATCCAAAATGTCGTCGATAATAGTCAACAAACTATTAGCCAAACTGTTGACGATATTCAGCATTTCACGCTGGTATTGCGTCAGGTCAGTGTCCAAGGTCAGCTGGGTCATGCCGATGATGCCGTTCATGGGCGTTCGAATCTCGTGCGACATGTTGGCGAGGAACTCCGACTTTGTCTTGTTGGCGAGCTCTGCAGCTTCCCTTGCCTGGGTGTTTCTTTGGATACTGTCTCGCAAGTTGGACACCATCTGGTTAATCTTGCGCTTGAGCTCGTCCATTTCACCGGACGCCTCAACTTCGACTAGTTTTGTGAAATCACCGTCGGTAGCAAGGTTCGTAATGTCGGAGAAGGCTCGCACTTGTGTAGTCTGCGCATGTTAGTTCAGCCATGGTAGGGGAGACCTGCAGGACGGTGGAGGTGCCTACCAAGTTGCTAGCCATGGTGTTGACGTCCGAAGTGATCTCCTTCCAGCGACCGTTGAGTCCAGCCACGTCGGCTTGGGCTCCCATCTTGCCGTCGACACCGACATCTCGAGCGACTCGTTGAACTTCGTTGCAGAAATTGGAAAGACGATCAACCATGTTGTTGATCGTCTCCTTGAGGACCAGGAACTCTCCCGAAGCCTCGACTTCAATCTTTTGACTCATCCTGCCATTCGCGATAGCCTGTGTGACGGTAGAAATACCTCGGACCTTTGCACATGTTAGCAGGTGGGCGAGAACCAACATCGGGTTGTATTCGACATACCTGTAATGTCAGGTTGGACGCCATCGTGTTGACGTTCTCTGTGAGGTCCTTCCATTTACCCTCGACGTTGTTGACCTGCGCCTGTCCACCGAGCGTACCATCTGTGCCGACCTCACGAGCGACCTTGCTGACCTCGAAGGCAAAGGTGCCGAGGCGGTCCACCATGGTGTTGATTGTGTTCTTGAGATCAAGGATCTCACCCTGAGCAGGCACGCCGATCTTCTTGGTAAGATCGCCCTTGGCGACGGCTGTCGTGATTCTGGCGATCTCTCGCACCTGAGTTGTCAGGTTCATGGCCATGCCGTTGACGTTCTCGGTGAGATCCTTCCAGGTGCCCTCAACATCGTGCACAGTAGCCTGTCCACCCAGTCGTCCTTCGGTGCCGACCTCTCTCGCGATCTTGGTGACCTCGCGAGCAAACTGCTGCAGTTGGTCGACCATGGAGTTGATTGTGGATTTGAGCTCAAAGATTTCACCCCTGCAGTCGGCCTGAACCTTTTGCGTGAGATCACCCTTGGCTACAGCCGTCGTGACTTCGATGATGTCTCGCACTTGCGTCGTGAGATTATTCGCCATGGCGTTGACGTTGACCGTGAGTTCGTTCCACATGCCCTTGACGCCTTCAACATCAGCCTGGCCACCCAGCATACCCTCCGTTCCGACATCGCGAGCGACACGCGTAACCTCTGAGGCAAAGGTTCGCAGCTGGTCCACCATGGTGTTGATGGTTTGTTGCAACTGCAAGATCTCTCCACGCGCGGGACGTTCAATCTTCTTGGTTAGGTCACCATAGGCGACGGCTGTAGTGACAGACGCGATTTCGCGCACTGAAGAAGCAGGTCAGCCATGAGGGTCTACAGCAGAAGTGAAAAGAGAGAGAGGGAGGGGTGTTTACCTTGGTCGGTAAGGTTCTGGGCCATAACGTTGACTGCGGCATCGTTAGCAAGGGTAGTTCTTCCGCGAGACTGGTCTGGCCGAGCGCACCATTGTCTGTAAGCTCCTTCCAGGTGCCGTCGACACCCTCGATGCGGGCCTGGCCACCGAGCAGACCTTCGGTGCCGACTTCACGGGCGACGCGAGACACTTCGCTGGAGAAGACTTGAAGCTGGTCCATCATGGTGTTGATTGTCCTCTTGAAGGTCGTAATTTCGGGGTCCATCTCGACAGAGTTCATGCGGACCTTCTTGGAGAGGTCACCACGAGCAACGGCAGTGACAATCTCGCCGATTTCTCGGAGAGCCTTCTGGAAGGCCTCGTTGGCCTTTTGGTGTTTCCATAGTTCGCGCTCGAGCCTAGCGACGCGGTCCTGTTCGATCCTAGAGAACGCCTGCTCTTGCAGTTCCTTCTGTTCGAGCAGCTGGGCGCTGACGCTGGTGATCTCTTCCCTGGCGCTGGAAATACCCTTTTCCTGGTCTAGTACCTTCTCTTGGAGGCTCTCGAGAGCTTCGTCAGTCAGCGGGCTGCCTGCACTCCCAGAATCAGCCTGTGTACCTTCTCGTTGCAACGGGGGCCGCGACACAACTCGGCCGCCGAGGGAGGGGAACGTGCCAGTCGGGTCATCTCCGAAGAGAGAGTCGTTGACCTCGTTGGGGGTCTCTGGAAAGGCTGTGGGAGCCGAGTGGGCGCGGTTCTCAAGCTTATCGATCCTCTGGGCGAGTTTGGCGAGTTCGAGCTCGAGGCTGCGCTTGGCGGGTGTGTCGCGGCCGGGCAGCTCGATTCTCGTCGTGTCCTTCCGGAAGGGAAGAGACATGGGGGTGCTTCCGTCGGCGGCAAACGACTGCACAATGGCCGCCGCAGCGGCCAAGGCTGAATCATCTACCATTGTCGGGATGGGGGCTGCGAGATAAGGGGTGTCGCCTGGTTCAGTTGTGAGAGTATGGCGGCGAGAGGTTGATATTGTGAACCGTCTCGAAAGGTCGAGTGATGTCGTTCGTTCGGTAGGGCACCTGCTCTCCCCTCAAGAGAAGCGCGGGGTGTTCTTCAGAAGCCAGTGTCGTGTCGATCAAAAGTCGAGGGAGAACCACAGCATAGTAACTTCGTGAGCAGGTCGATCGCAACGACGGAGAGTGCGAGGAATGCGATTTGATGTTGGCAAACACGAGCGTCTTGTCGCCGGTCCCCAGGACAAAGTACCACGAAGTCTCAGTGAACCGTGTCAGTGCTATCGAAAAGAAAAGAAAAAAAGCGACACTGCGAAGAGTTGAGGTCGTCGGCGGGTGGTTGGGTTGGGGAGGGGAGTTGTAGGGGATGTGATGTGCCGCAAGCGGGCGAGATCCTTTAGGTAAGGTCGACAAGATGGGTAGGTCAGGAATAAAGTGGAGGAGGATGCCGGAAAAAAAGGAGGGTAAAGATGGATTGGACACGAGGAGGGGACAAGACAGAGCGTGTCAGGGCGCTGAGTAGCGTGTGTACAGGGCAAGGTGCCTTAGCTTTCGAGGCAATGTACGGGGGGGGAGGGGGAGGAGGAGGCGTTTACTAGGGATGACCTAGGTGCTGAGCGCTGGCCAGGTGGTGGTGGGCGGGAGGAAGTGTTGTCGGGCGATGAATGAGGCGGATACCGTAGCCTCGACAGCCAACGAACGACAGGGGGGGAAGCATGGGGTTGTGGAAGGCTTGGAGGCTTGGGAAGGATAGGTACCTACCTAGGTAAGGTAGGTAGGCTGGATGAGAGGATAGAGGGTGGTGGGTGGCTAGGACGGGCAGGCAAAGGCAGGCAGAGTCAAGGGCATGGGATTGGCGATGGGTAATGGGATGAGGCGGGACACACAGTAGGAGGGGGAATCGAGGAGACAAGAGAGATGGAGGGGGCGTCCATTGGCGACCGGCGCGGATGTGGAGTGAACAAGCCTTGGCATTCGTGGCGCCAAGTCTGAGAGGGGCCTGGATGACTCGGTTAGGCCTAGTGACAGCCGTTTCGTTGCTGGTGGACGAGCCTCTGGCCTCTTTTTTTTTTTTTGGGCTCAACTCTGCCCGCTGTAGTTCTTGTCCACAGCAGCGACTCGGGTGGACAGCCCCTGTCCTCGTGCCATCTCCTCGTATGCTGTCCTCGATGGACCCAGCATTGCACTGCCAAGCCTTCCTTCTCCTCTGGCCGACACTCCCTCTCTCGTCTTCTTCCTTTTGATTTTTCACGTCTTCATTTTCGTATGTATGTGGTAAGCATCGTCACAGCGGCGGCCAATACAAAGGGCCTGCATGTTGCTGATCGGATCGTTTAGCCCTGAGAACCCTACCAGTGCCCAAACCCCCGAAGCGAAGCACAGGCCTCCTGCTTCCACGAGCGAGCGAGGGGTGTCAGGATCAGGGGGATGGATGAATGAGTATGCATGTCCAATGGCGAATGGGGGAGGAGATCTCGTCGTGCTTTGTCTTCCTCGGCCTCTCAGACGTGCCTCCTGAGTTCCCGTGACGAGTCTTGGTCCTGCCTGAGGGGAATGGATCTGCGGCCTTCCCGAGGACTTGCCTCGACCGGCCTCGCCCTACTGGCCAGACGTTCCATCTGCCTGGCGGTCGAGATTCCGCCTGCTTGCCTGTCAAAGAAAAGCTTCGTACGAGAGCATGCGGAGCAAGCGCAAATCAGGTCGCCCGCCTGCCCTGCCGCTTCACGCATCCATCCCTTGATCGTCGGATGGAAGGCTGCGATCAAGCAACTCCGCATGTACAAGTAAGGTAAGATACCTTGGGTACAGTAGCGGTCGCCCAATCTGTAACTCGACAATTGCCAGGGCCTTCGACCACATCTCGAAGGCACATCTCGAAGGAGGTTAGTGCTCCTGCTCATCAACCTAGACCCCGGCCAGCGTGGCGTGGTCCTTGGATGCAAGACGAGATTCCGCACGAGATGGCACTGTGAGAAGTAACTTGTCAGGTACCCTCTAGCTGCATGCTGGACGTGGTCCTCTGACAGTGCCTTCATCCCCGCCAAACCACTGTAGGATGCGCCCCTGCCATTCCCTGGCAGAGCGCCTCACGCTTCGTATCCCGCCCAGCACTTTAACTACCTCAACGCTATCGGCCTCAGTCGTCCATCACAACGATGCCCAAACAGTCCCCCCAACGATGCGGGCGTACATGTACGTCGATGCGACAGATGGCTGGCGGCTCAAGGGGGTTCCTGGCCGCCAGCAATGCAATCCACCAGCCTGCCCTTCAACTGGCTCGATTGGGCGCACCACAGCAGCCCGTCTTTCCACCCCTCCTCGTTTCAAACAGGCCGATCCCACTTGACGCATCACGACAGGTCGATCAGCAAGCCCCCCTTATCAAACTCACTTTCGTTACCTTTGGTCGACAGATACGGCTTGTGAATGGAGCCAGCCGGATTCCTGTCGCCAGCCGGATTGCTGCGCCGCTGTCGTCACATGCCGTCTCCCCGTTTCCTGGTGTTCGTGTGAAGGCGTTGTTCCACCGAACCAAACACCAGGTGCCGAGTGCAGTGCTCCCTCCTGCTACGATCTGCCCTGCCTGCTTCGATAATCGACGGCGGACTGCCTGACGAGCGAGCCGTTGGGCGGCCATGGGAACCCTTGCGCAGCACAACAACACACCACCCCACCAGCATTCGTGGCCCTCTGCAAGAATCAGAGTATACCCGAAATGTCTCCTCATCGCTGACTTCGATATTGACCATTTATCATTCATGCGGCATCCCATAACGGCTGCACCGATATGT